TGAAAGCATGGTCCCCAGACCCCTACCCCTGCTACTCTGTCCCTCAAAGTGTTTGACTGTATTCAGGAAACTTCTGAGCTTTGGTTTAGTCCAGTTGTGCTGACTTCCCCTTTAGTGTGTGCTGTCCTTCCCTTCACCTAAGATAATTCTTATCTACTATCTAGTTAGTGAATAACCCTCACCCTCCCTCCCCATTCTCGCAACCATCATAGAATGTTTTCTTCTGTGTTTAAACCTTTTCTTGAGTTCTTATAATAGTGGTCTTATACAATATTTGTCCTTCTGTAACTGACTAAATTCACTCAGCATAATGACCTCCAGCTTCCTCCATGTTATGTTTCACGGCTTCACCGTTGTTCTGTATCGTTGCATAGTATTCCATTGTGTGGATATACCATAATTTGTTTATCCATTCGTCTGTTGATGGGCACTTAGGTTGTTTCCATCTTTTTGCTATTGTGAGCAGTGCTGCAATGAACATGAGTGTGCATATTGTATATAACGTCATATTTTTATATATGAAAGTATCACACTTTCATATTTTAATCCTCAAACACCTTTTAAATCAGATGATGTTATTTCCATTATACAAATTCAAAAAAAACAAAACAAAACAAGGGTCAGAGAGTTAAGTGGTTTGTTCAAATTCACCAAGACTCAAAACTCAGGCCTTATCTCCAAGCCAATGCAGCCTCGAGGTCATCATCCTCGGTAGGGTGGTGCCCTACCCAGCAACACTGGCATCACCTAGCAGCTTGTTAGCAATGTGAATTCCCTGGCCACCTCCCCAGACCTACTGAACCAGAAACTTTGGTGGTGGAGCTTGTGTTTTAACAAGACTTCCAATGGACTGTGATAAACCCTAACATTTGAAAACCACCAATATAGATTATTTCTTTTTCTCCAACTCATTTAATTAAAATCCCATGATAGTACTAGTTTTGAGAAGGGGTTTATTAACTCATAAATGGCCAACCTTTATTGAATGTTTCCCATATAGCAGGTATAGTTCTATATACTCTCACTCACTGATTCATCACAATAAGCCTTGTGGGATTCTTATTATTACAGGCCACTGAAACATGGAGAGATTAGGTGATTTCCCTAAGGTCACACAGCTAGTGTAAGAAAGAGGTAGTCTGTTTTGAGAACCCATGCACTTAACCATACTGTACATCATGCACTTAACCATACTGTACACCATACAGCTTGTGAGTTTGTACATTCAGCACATATTCCCCCAAGAGAATGCTGCATGATGCAGTGGAAACTACATCATCCTTTGGAGTTTGACAAACCTGGGGTTGAATCCCAGCCAGTCGCTTAATGAAAAAAAAACCTTGATTGTGGAAATGAGAGAACCAGTCAAATTATTTCTGAAATCTAAACTTAAGTTTATGAACTAATAAGCACAAATGTTTCCTAAAAATGTCTGCTTTCCTGAAATAGTCTTTTCCCTCAGGCTTATATGAACCATGAAATACTGGAGGCGGGGGGGGGGGGGTGGGAATATGCTGCAAAATTACTGTGTTATAAACATTTACGACTAAGGTAGCAAAATGTAAGGAATCTAAAGGGAAAATTTTTTCCACGCTATTTCCCGACTAGCAGTGATATATTTTAATTTCATTGTTGCCAGGTGTTCCCATTATGTAGTCCTCATGTTTTGAAGAAACTATTGAACCTAGGAGAACAAAACTACAAATGCTTTGCAAAATGAATTTACCTTATGTCTAAATATGTCATGCACAAGGAAGGAGAATGTCTTTAAGAGCCTCACACTGTTATCCTTGTTTCCATTCTATCTAATCTATACAGCCACCAGAGTGATCCTTTAAAAATATAAAAATGATCACACATTTCCCTGCTTAAATCCAACCAGGGTTTATCATCACACTTAAAACCTAAGGTCTTTATCACGGCCTGCAAGACCCTCCATGAAAGGGCTTCTGGTTCTCTCTGCCAACCTCTTGACCTCACTCATTCTGTCTCAGCTACAGTGGACCCGTTGTTGCTCCTTTAACAAGTCAAGCAAGCTCTGACCTCAGGGCCTTTGCACTTACTTTTCCCTCTCCCTCAGTAAACTCTTCCCAGCTATTTGCATAGCTTGCTCCCTGACTTCATTCCAGTCTCTGTTCAAATATCTTCTCCTCAGAGAAGCCTTCCCTGACGACCTTTAAAATAAAAATCTCATTCTTTGTTACCATCTAGCCCATTACCTTTTTTTTTAAATTCATCATACTTATCACTAGTCTCATGTTATGTATTTTATTTTTTAATTATCTATTACTCTCCAAGGAACTTAAGTTCCCCAAGTGCCTAGGTTTTGTCTGATTCCCTGCAGTTTCCCTAACACCTTGAACAGTGCCTGGTGTTGCTGTGATTAGTTGTGGTTAATTATCGTTAATTTTCTTTAATGTTTTTCCTTGTCTATTTGTTTTAACGTGCAGTATGCTACAGAATAATCAATTAAGGCAAGTACCCACGGAAGCGCTCCAGAATTTGCGAAGCCTTCAGTCCCTGTAAGTATAGTTGAAATCACAAAATGTATTTAGGATCCATTTGGGAAGGAGCACTTAAATGTCCCATTGACCGTTTTCCTCAGTTGGGAGTCATACATAAATTTTGAATGAGTGTTTCCATTAGAGCAACAATTCTTCACATTCTTATTAAACAATGTATGTGGGAGAGACCAGTGTTGGAATTTGGGGTTTCAGGGTGGAGATTTAATTACAACACCCACAGTCAAAAGTCTCTTATCATTTATGCTGGTATCTCAGGACAAAACATCTAGTCCCAGAATCTGGTCCTATATTCCCCCACAATTCCTGAATTTATATTAAGAATAATGCTTGGCTTTTGCCTAAAAATATGAGTGTCAAAATCTGGATGTCTTAGCATCTTCAAGTTATTCTGTTTTGAGATTATCTGAACATCCTTGTCATTCAATTTTGCTAAGTCAAATAAAGACTTACTTTTTTAAGTTCTGTATGTACATCAGGGATTCTGAAATCAGCCAGCTAAAATCTACTGGTATATCCTGAAGCCTTATTGCCCAGGTCTACAAACCAAGAGCTTCCCAATCACCACACAGACATGCACATGCAAACATGCTCACAAACAATACCACAGACACACACCTACATCAGATACACATGCCACACACAGGCACACACATACCGCACAAACATACCACCACATACAAATACACAGACACACACAACACACAAACATGACATCACACACTTCACACCCCACAGCACCACACACACGTTACACAAACATGCCACCACACACAGACACACACCACACGCAGACACACAAACATATGCAGAAGTGGTATTGATGTTCCCTACTCTGAATCCCTGGAGCTCTGGTGGTGCCGTGGGTAAGAGCTTGGCTGCTAACCAGAAGGCTCGTAGTTCAAATCTACCAGCTGCTCCTTGAAAACCCCATGGGGCAGTTCTACTCTGTCTTATAGGGTCACTATGAGTTGGAATCGACTCCACGGCAAGAGGTTTGGGGATTTTTTTTTGGTTACTCTGAATCCACAACTTTTCCATCAGGACTTTCCACCCCTTGTTGATTTGAAACCTCTGAATAAATAAAAATTAGTTATCCCTCACAAAAAGAACATACTCACCAGCTAGATGTTTTGGAACTTGAGTTGTAAGCAAATGTTTACAGTGCTTACTTGGCAAGACTGCCACAATTACTGTCAGTAAATCTTCATCTCATCAGAATGTATTATAAATTTTACAATAGATTTCTGATATACATGTGCATAATGTATGCTCTGATTTTACTTATACTGGAGGTCCTCATCTGTTAAACAAAATACTGGTTTCTGGTCTCATTGAATGAAAGGCAGATAATTGCATATTACAAACTCTAGCTGGAAATCATTCTAAAGAATCCATTGGTTAATAATTACATATAGTTTGCTGAATGTCTTTTACTGAGGTGACACGAGAGAAGGAGGAACATGAGATTTGGAGATTATACTTCCTTCCTTTGATCTTTTTTTTTTTTTTTTTTAATGAAAGAAAATCTGTGCTTGAGATCATCTTAAGCTTTTTATTCTGGTCAAACAAAGTGAGTTCCTAGGCTTTCACCAGCCTATAGATAAACAAGCCACAAGGGCCCTTTGTGGCATGGGATAGGTCTGTTACATTTTCAGGAGCTTCTTAATGGCATGACAGCATTGCTCTTCCTTTGTTGCACAAGCCTTTTCCTGAAGGAAAGACGAAGCATCCGGAGAAGCAAAACAACCTTACCTTGGGTTGTCTGTGTAAGGGCATGGGGATCCAGTGGCTGAATTGAAATAGAGATAATGGTAGTAGCCAATAGGAACTTTAAACAGCTGTGAGGCAGGCAGAAGATAGACCGATAAGCGTTTGTAACCAAAAGCCACTATCAGCTGAAAGAAGATCACAACAGACCACAAACAGCAGTGAACTCTTTGTGAAAAAGAAAACTATGAATCTTTTGTTCACTCAAACTGGGTGGTGCCCTCTGATAAATGTGTTCAGATTTAGTTTCTTATGGTCTAGATATTTACTGTTCACCAGGTGTCTCTTGCCTTTGGTGTCTGGTTCACAAAAACAAGTACGTTTTGAAACCTTATAAATATGTGTTCCCTGTGATAAGACCAAGAGTTAACTTTCTAGCATGACACTTATCGTATCCAAACTGAGGCATCTAGATAGAGATTCAGCCCTGGTACATAGTGAATTATATGGACTGGGTTAAGAAGTGTTTATCAGGGGCCCCTTTGCCCAGCTCGTGCGAGGTGTTGAAACTTGGCAGCGTGTGCTGCTGTGCCATTTTTTTCTTACTTATATTTTTCCTGCTGCTGTGATACATGAATTCAGACTTGACAAAAAGCATTATAAACATAGGCTTAACCAGCCACCACACAGACACTGTATCGTACCAACTGAAAGAGCCCTCTGCCCTGAAGTACACAACCAAGCCAGGTTGGAGGTTTGGGGTACAGTGAACCCCTTTAAAGTTTATTGATTTATAGTGTTTAATGGCATTTCTCCTGCTTCCTTTTAAGCAATTCTAAAAAATTAGAAATTGAGTTCTGCATTAAATGATCATGACAAACATGCATTTCTTATTCATTCTCCATTCATTTACCATGCCATACTCTAGCCTTTGTGCTACTTCCAGATCGGTAAGTAATGACGAGGGTGAGACTGTCTTATCCATGCTGAAAACACCCAGGAGGCTTCCATTCATTAAGTAACCCAGCTCTTCTTGGACTTGGGTGAACTGTTAGATCTTCACTCAGCCCTTCTTCTATATGGTTCCTCTTTTTTCACTCTCTTTAATTCACACAGTCTTTCTTCACTTTATTATTTTCCGTGTCTTATACGTTCACTCTCTAAGGTGCCACACATCCTACAGGGTTTGTGTATACATCATCCCTATACTTGCCTGCCCTTATAACTTCCAAGCAGGCTTTCTCAAACTCAGCTGCACATGAGAATCATCTAGAGAGTTCCAAAGCCTAGGCTGTACCTCAGACAAGTTAAAATCAGAATCTCTGGAGAATGAGACCCAAGCATCAGTATTTTCTACCTGGTTCAATTATATAGTTAAATGTTCCATATGATGAAAATTAGAAAAAACTGGTATCCTGCAGCATTCCTTAAGATTATCTGCAAAGTAGTATCCTGAACTCTTTTCATCCCTGAGATGATAACAAAATCGATACTTTGAATTCTAATTAATAATGTGCTTATAATAGGAAATCAACGTCAGACATAGACTTGTTTGTGTTTGAGAATAGCTGACACCTGCCAGTAAATTCTACTGACAACCCGGGGCAGATATAGTTAAGAGACCACATGCTGTATTTCTCTACTACTCAAAGTGTGGTCCCTGGTCCAGCAGCAGCAATACCACTTGAGATATGCAGAGTCTTGGGCCTCACTTCAGACTGATTTAATCAGAACCTCCATTTTAACAAAATCCTCAAGTGATTTGGATTTACATTACATTTGAGAAATTAATTCTTTTAGCACTCTGTTACACTAACAGGGGCCCTGGTGGTGCAGTGATTAAGAGGTCAGGCTGCTAACCAAAAGGCTGGAAGTTCAAATCCACCAGCCACTCCTTGGAGACCCTAGGAGGCACTTCTACTCTGTCTTATAGGGTTGCTATGAGTTGGAATTGACTCAGCAACAATGGGTTTGGTTTTTTGGTTTTTATTACACTAACAAAGTGGTCTACAAACCAAAAAAGGTTGAGAATTACTGAAGTAGATAATTTGTACACTTTGCTCCACTCATATAAACTTGGCTTCACTGAATAAAGTTTAAGAAAGTCGATATATTGAAATTGGTAACATTACTATAAGGAAGAAACAAATTGTACTTACATTTCAAGGGATGTAATTTTCCACTTATTCTACATAAACAAAAGATATTTTGTTTTGTTCATAATGAAAACACATAGGTACATTTGTGTTCTTTTAACTCTTTCCTGATGCTTACAAATTGTTGGGCTAAAGAATAAGAAGGCAAGCCCATGTGCTAGAGCCCAGCAGCCCAGAGTTAGACCCTGCACAATATGTGCATTTGGCTTCTGACATGGTAATGACTGCCCAGACACCAACTGGATGTTTTGTAATGTAATCAAATATAACTTAATTTCCTCTGCTTTTTTGGAAGGGCATAGGAAATGTAATCAGAATTCACAGTGAGTTGTATTTCACCAAGAAACTTTTGGCATTATGGTCATTTGCAGACTAAGATCAGATTGCAGTGATTTGGTGGAAACTCAAAACTTAACCTCTCTCATACCCTCACACCTTTGTATAATGGTTAAGAAATTGATCTATGAAAACCCATTGCTTCACTTGTTGATAGTCACTAATTAAGTTCAAGTACCTCACTGTCATTAGTGAAGTTCAAGATGATCAAAGTAAATTACATATTCTTGCTTGTCCAGTTAACCAGCGTATTATTTAATATATGCTGGTTTTCGTTCCAAGTCTGCACTTGTTAGTTGCCCTTGAGTTGATTCCAACTCATGTCAAAGTTAATTGTGGAATATGCACGATCACAAAGATAATTGGTTGGTAAATAGGAAATGAGAGGAGAATTAGACATGTCTTTATTATTGTCTCTATCTTCCAATTTAGGAGTCCCTATGTGGTGCAGACTATTAAGCACTCTACTGAACAAAAGGTTGACAGTGCAAACTCACCCAGAGGAGGTTCCAAAGACAGGTCTAGCAATCTGCTTCCGAAAGGTCGCAGCCTTGAAAACCCTATGGAATGCAGTTCTACTCTGCAACACATGGGTCACCATGAGTCAAAATCAACTCAACGGCAACAGTTTTTGTTTTGTTTTGTTTTGTTTTTTGTTTTTGGTATTCTCCAATTAGCTAATAGTCATCTTCAGAGTACAAAACTGTATTTTAAAACTCAAGAAGAATGTATAATTCCTGCCTGGTGCCTGATCTGCCCATGCATCTTACTGTGCTATCAGCTTCAGGGCTATAGACC